AACTGTTAGAAATACAGTTTATGTTCACGCTCTAAATTATTATTAAAAATGATAATATAACTATGCGTGAACTTCTAACAGTGGGCTAAATTTTTTATCAAACAATTTATGAAAAAAATAAGATAAATTCAATATTTCTTCTCCTTTTTGTTGCTATATCTTGGCAGCTATACATTCTAAAAAAAATTTCTTGTTCTTCTTCTTCTTCTTTTTATATAGACATGACCCTGTCCGTTTTTCAATGTGCCTCCAGTAGGTTGTCATTCCATCGCTTTTGTGGTATTCCTACTGATCATCTTCCTATTGGGGAACCATCTCGTGCCGTCTTTACTACTCTATTTGTTGGCATTCGGCTTATATCGTTTCATTCTACTCTTTTATTTCTTACCCAGTTTTTGATGTTCTCCACCTTGCATCTATGTCGTATATATGTACTTCTAGCTCTGTCTCATAGTGCCCTACCATCAATTTTTCTAAGTGTTATCATCTCTGCTGTTTTTAACATGCTTTTTGTCCTCTCTATATCAGGTCTTGTTTCTGCCGCGTATGTCATTAATGGTCTGATGACTGTTTTGTAAATTCTGCCTTTCGTTTCTTTCCCGATATTTTTATTTTTCCATATTGTTGTATTTAGACAGCCTGCGTGTCTATTTGCCGATCGTAATATATAAAAAAAAGATTTGTAATGACAAAAAAGTTTAATAATTAAATTTCCTATGAGGCAACATTGATTGCAAATTTAAACAATAATAATTATTCTTGCATAATTAGCAAATTCTGGAATTAGCTAAATACCGGAAATAGTATTGTAAAAACATTGATTTTTTACCCGTTTAAAATGGTTTTTGCTAGTTTTGCAATTATAATTATTATTTTTTCAATTTGAAATCAATTTTGTCTTATATAAAATTTAATTGTAAAACTTTTCTGTCATTACATTTTTTTTTCTAAAATGTATAGCAGCCGAGATATAATAACAAAAAGAAGAAAAACATTGAATTTTTATTATTTTTTTCACAAAATAAATTTAGACCTTTTGAAGTATAGTTAAACTATCATTCCCAATAATATTTTAAAGCGATTAAAGCAAAACACTGGGATCAAAACGATTTACCCAACCCAAAACAAAAATTCAAACATAAATATAGGAAAGATAGCATTTTATTAACGTAAAGATACTGGAATATTGTAAGGGTACGGTATAACAATTAAATCGACCATTTTCTTCTTATAAAATTTTAAAAACCATCACTCAGAACACCATACTCTATTCATATGTTCAATATAAAATTAATACATTTTTAATCAATATAAATTAGTATACATTAATATCTGTAGCATTTTAAAATATCAATAATTTAAAATTTTTACTTTTTTAATAAACAATAAAGTCAGATCCCTTTGGTAAAGTACATCAAATCCATGCGTAAGATTAAATAGGTCCTTGTTATATCTGGTGTAATTTAGTGATATATAAGTTTGAACAGTTTTATTGTAGAAACATACAAATACTATACGTATGGATATTTAAAAACACGTTGTTTTACTACGTTTCTAAAAAAATGCTAATAATTAAAATGCTAATAACATCAGCTTTTTGTTATCCAGTAACCAACCAAAAACCAACCAAAGAATCAGTTCACTTACTTAAAAGCATACACCACGTCCTGAAGAAGTGTCAAAGCCACCTAAAACAGGAGTAACAGAAAATTCAACATCGAAAACATCCAATTACCACAAACCAAGCAATAATTTTTATGTAAAAAATTTAACGTCTTAACGTAAATTCTTCATTTACTTAATGCATTGTCTAGTAGACTACAAAGTTTTTGAAACTGGTTTATTGTTTTTAGCGAATAAATGGCTTAGCTTTCGCAGAAGTGACGATAGTTTGGAGAGATTGATCTTTTCTGGAAACGTTCCGAGGAAAAGATCAAGAGGATGATCACCAACTAAATGGTTCAACCAAATAAAGAATTAAGCTGAAAACTCATTCTGCGAAGCTCTTAGAGCAGTTAAAGCTATCAATGGAGAAAAATTGTTAGGAATATCGGAAAAAATCATGATCCTCAGTAATAGGAAAACGACAAGAGAGAGAGATGGCTTAAATGATATAAATGATGATTATTTAATCTCTCCATATTATCTCAAAGTTTCTTACAGGAAGAATTATCTGTTCACTTTAAAGTAATTTCTGTACAGCTGAGACGACATTTTTAGTTCATGCATGATATAGTACCGTTCCATTTTATCATTGATCTATGTAATTACTGAGATGCAGTATATGTATATTGTTTAATTTGTAGGGTAGATACAAAACATTGGTCTGCTCGATGGCTAGATTTAACTTCTCCATATTTTTGTTAATATTATGTTTACAAAAAAAAATACTGTGTAGATAATTTAAATTAAAGATAATGAAACACACTCGAAAAAATGTGAAATTTTCAAGATCTTTACAAATTTTGGGGTTATGCGCGATAGGAAGATAAAAATTTATTTTGATATTTTTTTTTTTCGTTTTGTTTGTCTATACAGAGTGTCCCAGACTAATTTACCCACGCTATATCTCTTAAACGAATAGAGATTTTCGAATGGGACAAACTGTATTTGTAATACACTTTAATATGGCGTAGAAAAAAATCATCCCCTAAATATTCATCTCTTAGTTACAACCCCTAACTTTAATTTTGTTAATAGTACCCTGTATATTTTTTATAGTTTTGGATGGGGTCTTCTATCGTCTATTCAACAGATTTATTAAAAATAAAATCGGTTTGTAAATAATCAAGAAATCAATTAATTTTTTATTTTTGTTAATTAAGTGCCCCAGACTAATTTATCCAAGCTATATTTATTAACAAAATGGAGATTTTATAAAGGGTCAAAAACTGGTCTATTCCATTTGTAATACACTTTAATATAGCCAAGAAAAAACCATCCCCTAAATATTCATCCCTTAGTTACAACCCCTAACTTTAATTTTTTTAATAGTACCCTGTATATTTTTTTATAGTTTTGGATATATGGCCTTCTATCGTCTATTCAACAGATTTATTAAAAATAAAATCGGTTTGTAAATAATCAAGAAATCAATTAATTTTTTATTTTTGTTAATTAAGTGTCCCAGACTAAATTGTCCAGGCTATATTTCTCAACAAAATAGAGATTTTTTAAAGGAACAAAAACTGGTATCTTTCATTTGTAATACATTTTAACATAGCCAAGAAAAAATTATCCCCTAAATATTCGTCCCTTGGTTACAACCCCTAACTTAAATTTTTTAACGGCACCCTGTACATTTTTTATAGTTTTATATGTGGTCTTCTATCGTCTATTTAATCGATTTTTTAAAAATAAAATGGGTTGTAAAAAGGTATCAAGAAAATATCAGTTTATTTTTTATTTTTGTTAAATTAGTCAAAATATCCTTAAAAAATAGAATAGAAAAGAAATATTAGTAGTATAACTTCTTACACACCCTTTTTATTTAAATATTATTTTTAATTTTTCAAAATGTGGTCTTTGTAGGAGCATACGTTATCTTCCAGTGTGGTTGATGGTATGTTCTGTTGATTAATTTAACAAAAATAAAAAATAAACTAATTTTCTTGATACCTTACAAACCCTTTTTATTTAAAAAAAATCGGTTAAATAGACGATAGAAGACCACATCCAAAACTAGAAAAAAATGTACAGGGTGCTATTAAAAAAATTAAGTTAGGGGTTGTAACTAAGGGATGAATATTTAGAGGATGATTTTTTCTTCGCTATATTAAAGTGTATTACAAATGGAATAGACCAGTTTTTGACCCTTTAAAATATCTCTATTTTGTTAATAAATATAGCCTGGATAAATTAGTCTGGGACACTTAATTAACAAAAATAAAAAATTAATTGATTTCTTGATTATTTACAAACCGATTTTATTTTTAATAAATCGGTTGAATAGACGATAGAAGACCATATCCAAAACTATAAAAAAATATACAGGGTGCTATTAAAAAAATTAAAGTTAGGGGTTGTAACTAAGGGATGAATATTTAGAGGATCATTTTTTTTACGCTATATTAAAGTGTTTTACAAGTAGAATAGATCACTTTTCGTCCGATTTAAAAATCTCTATTCGTTTCAAAAATATAGCGTGGGTAAATTAGTCTGGGACACCCTGTATAATTCGCAACTTTTTTAACTTCGAAATCAAAAAAGTGTTTTTTTGGCCCACCCTTATAGATATGCCATATATAGCAAATAATATTTGATAAAGTAACTTATACAGTGTATCTACAGGTCTAGACCCATGTTCTAAGTAAATAAAAATCAATATAGATTTAGATCTAGATGTTCAACATTCCCTTTTAATATGAGATATATTCTAAGGCTGGTGGGTTTTTTTGTTTAACAATTACGCTTAAAAAGAGAGATGTAAAACTGAGAACTAAGACATACGATAAGTTATATAAAAAGTGTAAAATTTAATAAAATGTTTTTGATAAATAAAAAAAAAAGATGAAAATATTTTGAAAAACATGACAAAAACTGCAGCACGGTAAAAATAATAAACATTTCAATGACATCCTACAAACTAGGTAAAACTAAAAGTATTTTATAAAAAATCATAGAATCTTTATTAACTATAAACTGCACATTTAAGTAACAGACGAGAAAAAATTACGAATTATGATCACACTTTATGTCTGCTTCGTTGTTTGCAGTCTGAATTTAAGGTTAGTTATATGAAATTATCGCAAATCCGTGCTGTTTGCTGTAAATCTCTGTTTACCCAACATACTGTTTAAATAAAACTAAGACTCAAATAAATATACCACTAAAATGCACTAGAGCTATTCTTGTTAATGCTATATATGATTTTTAACAAACTTATAACATTCACTATTGTAGCTTCGGTTTCATCAGAATGTACTCGTACCTAAAAAGTTATTATCACTTAAACTATGTCAAAACCCAGTCCACATTTTCGAACTAATGTAAACTGGGGATTAAGCTTCCTGGCCACAAGGGGCCGCAATCGCACCAGCTTCCCCTTTACCGGAGTTGCCAGGCTCGCATGATGTATGCGCCGCTGGATCTGACGAGATGATCACTGCTTGTTGACATTTATCTAACGCTTTGACTGGATATCCATCGGCGGTGTAGCGTATGTCGTTTCCGAAGTACTCGTAGGTCAACGGAGATGACGAAGGTGAGGGACTCGATACGTTTCGATTTAAAAATTCGGCATCCCGCGAGACTCGACCTGGAACAAAAATAGAGAGGATTACATTTATGTTGTATAAATATTGAACAGTGGTAGAAATGCTGTATTGGTATAACAGACATTTAAACAAAGCCGAATAATATATTGTACAGGGTAGAATTTATATTAAAAAAATATAAACTTCTGAATATAAATATAAATTTAGAGCAGCGATCCTTTTCAAATTCTATGTGGTTTGCAAACTCTAAATCTAGTTACTTAAGACGTCTATACTGCTACAGGATGAATAACGTAAGCTTTAATTATTTGAATCTTAAAAATCACTCTTTTGAGTGAGATTACAAGTATTTTATTAGATAAAACTAATGTGCAGCTCATTACTGTCTATCGTACTCCAGATAGTAATTTAGACAAATTCTTATCATTAAACCTAAAGGCTAAATTTCTTTAAAAAAAAGTAATGCTCCTAACCCTGTTATAATTACGGGTGACTTTAATGTCAATTTTAATAAAACAGACATTTGAGCTTTAAAACTCTGTAATATTTTTAGATCTTACAATATTACAAAAAAAGTAAAATTTAATGCTCGAGGTGATAAATGTCTTGATAATGTTTTTGCAAATATTGATGGGACCACAAAACCTGTGGATCTCACTCACACATCTGATCACATTTCCTTTCAGATATCTTACTCATCCACAAATTGTGCAACCAGAGTTTTTTATAGACCTATCACAGATGAAGGTCTCTTCAATTTGAACCAGATTCTGCTAAATTGCAACTTTAATTTTGTATACAATGATAATTTGTGTATTAGTTTAAAATTTAAAATGCTAATTGATGTGTTATTAAATTCCACAAATATCTCTTTTCCAGAAAAATCGAAATTGCTAAATAAAAATATTCCAGGTAAAAAAGTAAACTGGTTCAATGACATTTTGAGAAAAATGAGTGAAAGATCTCAATTTATTATAGCAATAAATAGAAACTATCCCATTGCTGCACCTATAAGTACCAGTACCAAACTTAGAAAAGAGTACAGGGAAGCTATAATCCTTGAAAGAATTAATGCAATAAATGATATGTTTATAAAAAATTCTGGCAACTCTTAACAAGCTATGTGGGAACTTAATTAATGGCAACAAATTTAAAAATGTTTTTACTGATAATTATAAACTCAAGGCAGATACTTTTTATAGCCACTTCTGCTTAACTGCTGAGAGAGTAATAAATGAACCTAAGGTTCCTCAGCTAACTCTTGATTTCGCTATTTCACAAATAAAAAATTGTAACAGCATAGATCCTGATGGATTTAACACAAACATTATTTAAACAATTTAAAATATAATTGTTCAACATCCAACAACTTTAATAAACCAATCAATATCTTGTAATACTTATCCTCAAGTTTGTTTCCATTTCTTTGTTTCCCATCTTATCAAAAATTTATGAACGAATTTTCAAAAATCAAATTAATCTACATTTTAAATCTAATAAACTGTTTGATGTAAACCAGTAAGGATTCTAAAAAATAAAACAATCAATAATCATTTCACTCGCAATATTTTGGAGGGGTTTGAAAAATATCTTGATACTCTTGCATCGTTTTTAAAACTTACTAAGGCTTTTGATTGTGTCACACATAGTATTCTCCTTAGAAAACTTTCTTATTATAATTTTCATAGTGATTCTATTTAACTAACTGATTTATATCTATCAATTTATGATCAATATGTTTACTTTAACCATTGTAATTCTCAAAAACAATCTATGTCGTTTGGTTTTGGATCCATTATTATTTCTTATCAGTATTAACGATCTAGTGTACTCTCAAAATGATACAACAAACAAATAAACAAATAATACTGTTTTATTTGCTGATGACACTACTTTCTATTTAAGCTATAACGCTAAGCCCCACTGACTTCGACAACCTTGATTACCAAACATCTAAATAAAACTTATTTAATTTGTTTTTAACCAATCATCTCTCTTTGAACAACTCTAAATCACAAAGTGTTGTTTTTACTTTATATATATATATATATATATATATATATATATATATATATATATATATATATATATATATGTATATATATATATATATATATATATATATATATATATATAACACCTGTGTTGAAAGGTTGTTCTACCACAATGTGTAAACGGAGCAAAGTTTCTAGGGATATATTTGGATGCAGGATTAATCTGGGAACAACATATAGTGTTATAATTGTTAATATATTAGTTAATCTATCGAAAAACTTTCTCAATAACTTTTACTCTTCAGGAACCTTATACAAGTAACTTTCAGGAAAACTATTGGAACAGCTTATCATAGTAATTTCCATTCTCATCTGACACATGCTATTCTCTCGAGAGGCCACTTTTATCATATTGATAAAGTGTTTGCACAACAAAGAAAGTGTGTTATTATCTCTGGGCTCTTTATAGAGCAAACTGCAGAAAATCCTTTAGAGCTTTTAAAATTTTAACTTTACCTTTTGTATACATTACGCAGTGTCTGTTGCACATTAAACAAAATCTTAGCCAATACAATACGCATGTAGACTTTCACAATTATTCCACCAGATTCCACCAGAGAGATCCAGAACTGGTTCAAGGTATTTAGCCATAACATTCTACAACTTGTCAAGTAGAATAAAAGCTCTTAAAAAAAAATTAAGAGACCTTATAGCGAATGCCCTTTTTTTGCATATAAGAAGTATTTTACGTGTAATTTTAATTTGTTGTAATTGTCAACAATCTGAGGTCAAGCAATAGGTGAAGGTGAGTTTTAAGGGCAGAAAATTTATTTTTCCCTAAATAAAATCAAATAGAATTTCCGGCAAAACTACAACTAAAATGGAAAAAAATATTAACAAAGTAGTGAGTAAGCATAAGATCTAAAACTTTTATATACATATTCGAAATATTAGCGCGAAATGAAGTTTTTTTGGATTTTTGGATTTTTTATTTACGTCTTTCAAATAAACATTTTGTCATAGAATTTATTGAAAACCTACCTTTTTATTTCCCTATACTAGTATACTGAAATTTTTTTAATTTAAAATATTGTTTTTCCTTATTTTGATTAATTATCAAAAAAAGTATCCAAATTTTTAATTTAAAATTTTCTCGACAAAACATTTTATTTATTTTTTTTTTTTTTCGGTGCATTTTTGTTATTTAAAATCTCCATTTTCTGATGTACTTTTCAAAAAAGAGAAAAATACGAAAAAAACTCGGATTCCTAAAATATGTTTTAATCACTACGTAAAATATTGAGGCGTTATTATAATTTAACAAAAAATTACAAATTAATGAAACATTAGATAATATATAATTTAAAGAAAATTTAAAAAAAAAATATGACTTTTATAATTTTTTTACTAAAAATGTTTTCTAAATACACCAGACATGAATGTGTTCCAAAATCTTAGCACATTTTACATAAGCCTCTCAAATGTCGCAGGAGCATTACAGAATCCAAATGGCATAACGTTAAATTGCTACAGTCCAAATCCTGTACTGAAGGCTTTTTTCTCTTAATCTACAAAATTCTACCTGCCAGTATCCAGACTTCAAAGTAGAAACAAATAACTTCCAGCCAATGTATCAAACATGTCATAGATTTAAGGAAGAAGATAACTATCTTTCTTGGTTATATACTACGCTGTAGTGTTCAATGAACAGTAGTTCACACAGAAACTCGTCGTTTTGTCTTTCTTCTTGATTAGGATCACAGTAGAGACCTATGAGTTGGTAAAAGGTTGAAGGTTCTATCACGCCATTTTTCTTTTTTTCCTGAATAATGCTTTAAGCTTCTTCTCTCTTTTCTGTAGTAATCTATTATATATCTATTCTATTCTATAGAATCTATAGCTATTAGATACTGATATTTATCTATCTAACGATACCTATAGAATCTATAGATACCGCCAAAAAAATACTTTTATTTTTTTCTCAATTGATTTATAACCTGGCCAGCAACTACAACCATTTGATCAAATTTGTCGTTGGAACAGTTACAGAAGGATGGAGGTTACAGTTTTATTGGTTCCTAGTTTTGTATCTTTGTTGATAGTCACTAAGTAGTCAATAAAATTATTAAGTCTTATAGGATTTTCTTTAGCATACGTCACCAATTTTTTTGCAATTTTGATACCTCGGTCAACCTCCTCGTCATGGTGCCATCATTCTTCCATAATTCCTCACTACGATCATTTTACTTCTTGAAAGTACCAATGTATCTTCTTTAACAGCTGCTTGTACAGTGCTCTCATCATGTGGATGAAGAAATACCCTTGCCAACTTTAATTACCTAATTCTTATAATCCTATTGAAATCCATGCAAATTTATTCCGTTCATTTCTAATATAACATTCTTTTTCATTTTGGCAACTATGATAGTATGGGCAAACTTTTCTGCTCCAATTTCTAGTTGTATCTGGATTTCTTCATAAATTTATTCATGTAAACAGAATATCAAACCATTGAGTATATATTATCAAGGAATATAATTAAAAGAAGTCGTATGGCAAATTTTTAAAACAAATCCCATTATAAAAGCAATAAAAAAGGAATAAGAATTAGTTAATTCCATGGAAAAGGATACAGCTTTCATTTGAGTACCATCGCACTGGAGAAAATAAAAATCTGGAGACAAATAAAAAAGCAGATCAACTAGCCAGTACAAGTGGTAATAACTTAGAAGATATTACAAAAATTACAAAATATTCTTATAGTAACATACGACATTTGATTAAAGTTCATTGCAATAACTTTTTTCAAAATTACTGAAAAAACTCACCAACCAAATTAAACCCTATATGCCTAAAGGTAAACAGCTCTTAGAATACCTGCTCAAATAGACAAAATCAAGTAATTATAAACCGTTTGAGAATTAATCATATTGCTGTTACACACAAATTTTTATTTAGTAAAGATCAACCATTAATTTGTTTGACTGCCCATGTTTCCAAAATCAAAGAAGTATGCATGAAATTTTAGACGGCCTCAAAAGCATCCTGACAGATAGTCTTTTTGAAGATACGACTTTTTAATGTTTATTTTACAGTTTGTTCAAAAAATAATCAAATTAGTGGCAAATTATATGTTGTTACAGAGCATTATTTATTAAAAAACACATAAAAACAAATAAAACCACTCCCCAACAAGCTATTCCAAAACGCCAATCCAGTCCTGGGCATAAACCTAAAACTCTGCCGGATAAATCCATCAGGAGGATGAACAAAAATATAAAAAGTTTGTGAGTGGTAATAAAGATCGTTAAAGTCAAACCAAGGGTAAGGTAAGGCCTAGAAATTAGAAGATAAAGTTAATGTCAGGAATAAAATCAGAGATAAAATGCTATTTTCTTGGCGAAATAAAATTATACCAACCGCGAAAAGTTTTGCGCTAAAAAAGATAAACAAGAGTAATTCTGTTAAGTATTCGGGGTTTAAAAATATTTAGGTCGTGAGGTAAATAAAGGTCGTGCATTATTTAGTTGATGTTTATTAAGGAAATATAACAAAATTTTGGTAATTTTGTAGATATATGGCAACAGAGCCGATTCAAGAGATTAGGCCGCCCGCGTGCAATGATCTAATATACCCCCGCTATATTTTATCAATATTTAACGATCTAGAAAAGATAAAATCTAAATGCCTCTGGTATTTGGTGAACTTTGACATCTAACAAAGAAAAATCCCAAAGGTAAACACTATTTACAAAAACGATTTCAGAAAATGTCAATGAATATATGAGTTTTCGGATAATGTAAAAAAGCTCCCGTTTACATTTTTCTTTGACAATCTTTTCAAGAGCTTTAATTTGATATTTTTCTTAAAACAGAGGGGTTGTGAAGGTATGTGAATTATGCGAGAAAATAGTTGCGAATTAACGAAAAAACTGAGATGATCTGGAGATAAAAACACATTATGTCTATCACCGACAAAGAAGATGGAATAATATTGGTAAAGTGGACGGATAATATCATAGTGATAGTACTATCTACATATCATGGTCGTCCACTCACACAAGTCAAATTTGGAACTATTACAAGAACTAGACAAGTCAAAGTCTATTTTTGAACCAAAAAAGAAATTATTTGAGTATCATCTTAGCAATAAATGCAATCGGTTTGAGGGAGGCACTGACTTCATGGACTAGATAAACAGATACAAGATTTCAATTTTTAGACAAAAGTGGTGGTGATCAATTTTAACTTGGCTACTAGCTGCTTCTATAGTCAATGCTTAGTGGATATCCAAGAAATGTAAACATTAATCACAGCTTACTCAACTAGAATTCAGACGAAAGATGGCTTAAGACTATCTGATAAAATATGGCATGGCTTTAAAAGGTGCTGGAATGCCTGCTGCTGCTAAATCAAGTTTATCTTTTATTGAAGTTTCAGACAACTTAAGATATGACAGAATAGATCATTTTTTGACAAATAGTCCCAATAATAAGCGGCGCCGATGTGCCGGAGAAGATTAAAGTAGAATGCCTAGCATGTAACATAATATTTCACAGCTCACTGTTATAATTTCCTTATTTAATAATGTTTTGTATACCATAATGGCCATAAAACGTAATGGCATTAATAAAAAAGTACATATATTGAAGCATGTTCATAATTTCTTTAAATTATTCCCTTTAGTAAATTATTTTCACGCCGCCCATGCCTGCATATCTTCTAAATAACCGACACTTTCAAGCGATTCGTTACGCCTTTTTTTTAACAAAGAAATAACTTCGCCAAATGCTCCTTCCTTCTTTTAATCTTGTTTTGGTACATAAAAATCTCTCCTAATAACAAAGGAAAAAGGTCTCTATTGTGAAATCTTCGAGCTACCTTCTTAGAAAAACAGAAGAGTTGTTTTTCGTAGAAAGTTACTTTCCATTGGTAAAAGCTACGAAAATGAACCCCAGTAGCCCAGCAATTTAATGTCAATTTCGCATGGCATCCTTCAGCCAATATCCCCTCCCAATTTTCAACCTTCGCTTGTCTAAGCCCTTCTAAGTTCACAATCCGATGTTCATTTCCAAGTTGGTTCCTGTGGCAGGCGGTCTTATCTTTGACAATCGGCGGTAAGTGGATTTTCAATTCACCCTTATTTATTTTTACACAGTGTGTCTTATATTAATTATTTTCTCTTTTGTCAAACAGACATCTTCCAATTAAAGTCACTTCTGTTTGCCGTTCGGATCTTACACCATTCAGATTTTACCGTTCATATTCTACGCTACATCGTTCAGATTTTACCGTTCATATTCTACTCTACACCGTTTAGATTTTACCGTTCATATTCTACTCTACCCCGTTGAGATTCTACACCGTTCGTTCACCTCGATCATCAGTCAACTATCTGTACTACCTGTACTTTTCGTCGGCCTAAGACCATCTAAGGGATTACGTTAGGACGACCGCAATTCTTTGTGGGTGTCACCCCAACTACCTGTTATACGGACCGAAGTCAAGTGCCTTATTGAAGGCGTAATAC